AACTTAAAGTCAAACACTTTACCAAATCGTCCTTGCATTGTCAAACACAAAAATCTGGCGGTAGTCCTCTCAAACTTAGAATGAAAAATAACAGATAAAAGAGAAACTGTCTACCTTACTGGAAACAAAAGCATCTCACATCAAGACGCAAGAGAGATGTCCAAAAGTCTTTCTTTCGTATTTTATAACACGGACTTAACTGGGCTATATAAACACACAATCGATTGGTCAGAAAGTGAAAATTTTTAAGGCTCATTTACGATCGGAAATCTAAACCCACTACTGCCTGGCCTCTTTCACACCTGACTGGATAAACTGCCTTGAATTCCTATTACACTGTCTCGCTTCATTGTCCAAAAGTCGATGCGAAGAAGGCCAGATTTCTGAACTCCTATTTATTTTTACGGAGAAACTTAGGTTCGGCGTATGCAAGGGACTGGCCCAAGGTCATTCTGAATCAAAGCTTCAACTCCTGGACTCTGTTCCAGACACAGGACTGTTCCTCCTTACAAACCCGCCTTCCGGTCAAGGATGTCCCCACAAAGCACCCAGGAGACGTGGGCACCATGACCTGCAGAAGGATCAGATAAGTCAGGGGACCCAACTCAGGTTGTTCCTCTAACACACCCGCCAAAAAAGAGGCACGACAGGGGATATCGAATTTGAAAAACTCGATCTGAGCTCTGGCCCCTCGTAGTAGAAAATGCACAGGACGATGAGGAGGAGGCGGTTAAGAAAAGGTTGGTGGCGGCGCGGGAACGCGTCGCCTGCCACAGCAGAAGGCCGGAGGCGGAGAAAGATGTGCAGCAGGTCGGGCACAGAGGGGATTCAGGATACGGAGGCTGGGCGTCCCAGGAACGCGGAGACCCCGGGCGTGGGGCTGGGGTAGGGATGCCGGGATCTAGGATCCCGAAGTGCGGTGGTTACCTTCCTCCTCGTCCTGGAAGCTGAGCAGGCTGGCCCGGGGCACTTCTTTGTTCTCGCGCGGCCTCTTGCGCTGCTTCAGCCCGTTGCCAGGTTCCGCGCCGCCCGGGAAGCAGCTCCCGGCCTCGGCCCCGGGCCCTGGGGTCAGTGCAGAAGGCGGTGGCAGCCCGGGGCCCAGTAGCGACTCTCCCCCGGGGGCCCTGTCGCTGCCGCCGGGGCCCGGCTCTTCTCCAGTGCCGGGCGGCGGCAACAACGGCGGCGGCTCCTGCTCCTCATCGCGCTCTCGCTCCTCCTCCTCCGAGTCATTCCGCTTGCGCACGTTCACTCGCCGGGCCTTTCGGAACATTCCCGCGGCCCGCACGGCGGTCTCACACCCGCTCCCACACGGCTGCCCGGCAGCGCCGAGCTCGCGACGGCGCACGCGCGCTCTCCCAAGCTCCCGCCGGGTCCTGTCTTCCCTCGCGCTACCACGCGCGCGGAGCACGCATGCGCTCACGCTCTCACTCCTTGAAGAGAACTCCGCGCCTCTCGCGAGAACGTCAGGTTTTTGCACTGTCCTCTGTCGGCGTGGAGGACTATTGGGACGAAACTCTGTGACTCCAGTGCTGTCCGATGGGTCACAAAGAGGATCATAGAGATGAGAGGACAGAGTAAGCTCCGTCGTTCTTCAGCGAACTGTGCTGCAGTGCGTCTTCCGCACTTAAGCGGGGCAGTCACGGGAGGAGACCTCCCGCCACTGGCTGGGAGGGACAAATAGAGGAGGGGGAGGAGACAGAAGGAAAATCTGGCTTTGGTAAGGGAAAGTGGGGTCCAAGTACTGAGATGATCTCCGAACTGTGAATTGAGGTGTGAAATGGTAATTATCACTAACTATTGAGTAATACTCCGTATTTCCACAGCTTTACAGCTACAGAGCACGTTCAAAAACATTGAATTTCATTTATGATAGATGTTACCTGGCTGATATATGAGCCCCCTTCTTTCTATTACGAGAGCAAAAGTGTTTTAGTGTTTTCGAAAGAATGCCAAGTTTGCTAGCAGTTCTGAAACGGCCAATTTCGGAAACAAACGGAAGGAAAATAGACTTGGAGGTGAGGATGGTTGTGACACATTTGAATTGCGTCACAGAGGTAACAGTCTTAACTGACAAGACCTGAACAGGGTACGTGACTTAAGTTGAACTCACAGGCTTTCCCGTTGTGTCACCAGCTTGGGTTTGGGGCCTTTTCCTTCGCGTGTGCGTGTATATGTGAATTAATTTTCATGTCTCAACATTCAAAAGATAACAAAGGGCATTCATCTACTGAAAAAGCCTACCCATCTTAGTTAAAAGTCTTCCAGTTCAGGGACAATATTAAAAGTTTCTCATGACTCTCCAGAGATATTCTATGAACATAAAGCAAATACGTATATTTTTATGAATTACTTTTTGTACACAGTGTATAAACAGTCCATTTTTTGTCTAGCATAAATTGGAGCTCAGTTCATATCTGTACATAAAGCATTGTCTCTTCTTTTTCTCAGCTGCCAAGTGATCCATTGTTGCAGTGTACCACGATTTATATAACCAGTCCCATAAAAATTGACATTAAGCTTATTTCCAGTCTTGGTATAATAATGCTGGAATAAAAGCTTCAAAAAATGCTCACATCTGTAGGGTGAACTGGATTTGGAATTTCTAGATCCAAATGTGTTCATTTGTAATTTTGCTAATCTAAAATCCTCTTTGAGCAAAGAGTGCCTATTTGCTTTCGCATCCTGTCAAAATTTCACTTGCGATATAATTTCCAAGTTGAAGCAGGCAATCCCAAGCCCACTAGGAATTTCTATGTCATACAAACCTGCCTCTTTTCTCTGGTTTTCTTTGACTGGATTTGAGATCTGTCCACCAGGACTCACTTTGGGAAACTGGAAGATGACCTAGACTAAGTGCATCCTCTGTAACATTTTCTTCCAATTAATAGGAAAAGTTAATAACATTTGGCTTCCATTCTATTTGAATTAATTTAAGTTCTTATATTCTGACTGTTCAGCATTGATTTAAGTTCTGATTCCAACAGAGTGTTTCATAGGTGAATTGAACTCCAGTTCGCCATCACGAAAGATTCAAATTCTGCCTGGTCAGCCTCCAGACACCTGAGCCAAGAGACAGATAAGCAATAACATAGAGTAGAGGTAACAAAGATAGATCGAGAACAGAATATGTTAATATCTTGACCTAAAACTTCAAAAAGATCTTTCACTATAAAATTGTTGTTTGAATATGGGCAGAGGGGAGAACACTTGTATTTTAAAGTGAGCCAAGGTATTGAAAGACAACAAACGTATTTTTATCTTTGACAGTCTACCTATTCAGATAATTAAAGGGCAAAGTTAAACACTTAAAAGTTATCTTGATGCTCAAGCAAGCCAAAGGTCTTTCCGGTGGTTTTAGACATTGTGGAGATTAAATTCCTGACACTGAATAGCTGCTTTAATTGCCTGTCAGCAGTTTATTATCAGAAGTTAATTATTTTATAAAACACTTGCTGTTTTAACATGCTGTAAGTATTAAACTGGTTTGTTTATTGAATATAGTATGTCATCACTATTTCATACTGGAGTGTCTTTAGTATTCCAGAAAGGCAAAGATTGCTTACATAGAACTGTTATATCAACCATTTTGTTTGTGCCAATAAGTTAATTCAGTTTGTTTTTAAAAGTCATCTTTCCAAGCGATAATTCTGAATAGTTTTTTCACCAAATTGTGACTTTACATGGAATAACTGACCCATAAATTCATACATAGGCAAACCAGTTTTGTTTTGTTTACCTACTCAGTATTAAACTCATTAGACTCTGTAGTCTGGAACAGTGGTTACCAAATTCAGGTCTGTGAACCTGTGAAAAGTTTTCCCTAGTCAGCTGCGAAATGATAAGATTAGGGACAGTTCATGTAGAGTAGCCAGAAGTCCTTACTTGGGGGGAAAAAATAGTCCTTTATTCTGTGATTGTCTTTCTCGTTCCATGTTAAGATACTAAAATCTCTTTTCTTCTATGACATAATGGTGATAGTGTGTTTGTTTTTATACCCATATTTGGCAAACTAAAAAATAGTGAAAGCTATGAGTCTTCCCCAATTTATCTAAAAAATTTTTTTGGCAGGCAAAATCTGATAGTCTAGGAATCCCTGATCTAGGAATTTTTCATTTCTAAAACCATAACTCAAGAATTCTATTCTGGAAAAGAGCTGAATAAATTATTTAATTAAAAAATTTAAAACCTTGCCTTGCTGAAGGCAGTTCTGCATTAACTTAAAGTAAAATGTAAGCTTCATGGAGGAAGAGATTTTGTTTTGTTCACTGCTATCTTCATAGTACTTGCAATAGGGCCTGACACACAATAGGCAATATAATTAGTTGACCGAACTGTGCTGGATAATATCTGTTTCTTTGATTAGTAATAAATGTTTTACCCTATGTTGATGTAAATTAACATTTTCTACAGCTTGTATCACTTTATCCCAAAACATAATCAAAATACATTTGTTATAGATTCTCGGTGGATTAGATTTAAAGTAGTAATTGATACCCCCCACTCCACCTCTGGGAACTGCCTCCTATAGTGAGAAGAGGACTGAAGGGCTAGTTACATGTACAGACTGGGCAAAGGATGGGCACCTGATTCAAGGTGGGCCAATCAGTTCCTCCCAAGATTTTGCAGTTGAAACTGAGTCAATGAGCTCCTGCTTGTGAGTTGAATTGCAATGATCTCAAAAGCCAAAGAAAAGCCATAAATTACCATGTCAATTCAGGAGTTGAGAAAACTATTCTGTGTAGTAGGAGAGGAGAATGAAGCAGGGAGGACAGAGAATAGCATTTGGGATTCTCCTTCCTTTCTGGTTCTTGTTCATAACTCTTCTTGAAGTAGGACTATGCTCCTGTCTCTGCAGGATACCCCCAGAATTCTTAGGACAAATTTCCTTTTTGTTTTGTTGTTGTTAATGATGATAGTTTATTGTTTTTGTGCATGTGTGTATGCTTACAGTAATTCGAGTTTGTTTCCAATAGTTAGAACCAAAGAACACTAGGACCAAATAACTGAGGGTTATTTTAATTTTGTAGCAATGTTAATTTTACCTGTGTAAATTATACAATTGTTTAAAAACAGCTTTTGTTCAGAGAGGAACTTTTCTTTCTTTCTTTCTTTTTTTTCTTTTTCGAAGATATCCATGCTCACTGGCATTTAAGCGGTGGATATAAGTGAGAAAAGCTCTGTCTTGCAAGTATTTAGTTATTGTGACTTAGGAGAGACAAGTACCTTCATCCAGAGCATGTGAATGGTCCTATTAAAAATGTTAGAAAATTTCTAAATTCTTTGTCTCAAATGCCATTGAAATTTAGCTACTATATCTAATTCAGTAAGATTATCTTTTCTATGAACTGTTATTATTAATAAAATCCAGATTTAAAAGATTCAAGCTTTTAAAAGTTAATTTTTTTGCTCCATTGGTATTCCTAGTGGAGAGCCATTCAACTTTTATGAATATATTGGCAATTCAATTATGGCTATTCCTTCATTTCTTGAAATGACACTTCCTTCAACAAAAGAAAGTGAAATTTTTCTCTTCATCTAAATTTAGAGTGTCATAATAAAATTAAACAACGTTTTATTTCCTTGCATGGAAATATTCAACTTATTCAGTATTTTAAAAACATATCTGCTATTTAGACTGGATAATTCTATTATTCTCCATTCTTTCAACAAAATTTATCAAACAGCTGCTATGTTCTAGGCCATAGGAATATAATAGTCAATAAGACAGATGTTTTCTTTCTCCTAAGTCTGTAGTCAGGTACTGGAGACAGATAATAAACAAGTGAATAAACAAAAATTATAGTTAATATTATGAAGAAATCAATAAGATACTACATCTTAAGGACTACAGCTATGAAATGATAGAAATTTCAAGTTGATTCATTTTTTCTTATGTGCCAATGGCCATTTAAATATCTTTATTAGTAGTAAATGTGTGAAGATTTCTGGGATTGAGGCACAACATTTTTCTTCAAGATGATTACAAATAATAGTTCCAGGATGTCTCCTTTAGTAAACTTTTCTTAGAATATTTCATGTAAAATAAAGAGCATTTGAAATCATTTTACCCAGTTTAGTATCTTTCATCTTCTAGACTATGTGAAAAAGTATAACTTATAATCAGACACTGATGTAATATTGATATTACATTCACAATGGATACTTTATGAATACATCTAAGAACTATACAATCAACGTAAAAGGAAAGATAACAATGTGTCCCTTCTGAAAGAACTCACTTATCTCTGTTAGCTCAGTATCATACATTATTGTCTATCTTTGGGGAAAAAAATTAAAAGCAGATACATTGTTAAGACAACAAAGTTATAAGTATCTCTTCTGGGAATACAAGAAGAATTAACATTTCTTTTTTCTGTTATTTAGTTGTACTAGAGGCCAGCAAAGTTGTACAATAAATATGCAATAACATAGTACGATTACAGAGGGAAGAAGAATATCAAGGTTCAAATTCCTGAGAAACTAAGTGGACTTTAAAAAAACCTTTTTCTAATTATAAAAGTAGTACCTACACACTTTAGAAATTTAGAAAATAACAGAACAATACAAAGAAGAAAATCATTTGTAATCTTAACACTTAATTTTTGGTGCATTTCCTTCCAGAATTTTTTTATGAACCCCCAGACTGTGGTCTTCTCTGTAACTGTCCCTAATAAACTAACTTTCTTGATTTTGTTTTAAATTAACTACTTAAATGGACACTAAATACATAGATGATTAATTTTGTTTGTCAACTCGACAGCTAAGGAAAGCCCAGGTAGCTGGTAAAACATTATTTCTGGGTTCGTCTTATCTCTGGAAAGAAATAAGATTGCATGGGCATTCTCTAATTTGTTAAGGGCCAAAAGGCAGAGGAAGGGTGAATTCACTCTCTGCTTGAGCTAGGGCATCCATTTTCTACTTTTTATAGCTGTTGTGTCTTATCTCTGGGCAAGTCTGAGAAATGGAAATTGATTGCCCAACTCCCTTTTTTAACTTAAAATGCAATTAATATATTTCCTTTGTTCCTTCCTTCCTTTCAGAGGTCTTTCATAGGTTCACACAAGGGTTTTAAACCTTAACTCATTTTTCTCATAAGGTCTTAGATTCCTCAGTCTCTCTGCCACCCCCATGTCCCACCTTAGGCTTTCAGGATCATGACTTTCTGTGTTGAAGAGTAGGCTACTGCATGCAAGGTGAGAGCAAATTTCCTAAAATTCTCATCTCTAGTTCTGGCAAGTGAGAAAAATGGGCATTTTAATATTGCAAGTGACTCTCCACACCCTAAAGTGACTGTCTTCACTCAGTCTCTTCATCTCTTTTTACCAGATCCAGCGGGGTGCCAGGGCGCACTAGTACTGGCTCACAAGAGCTGATTGTTAAATTTTCATGAATTTTGCAAGCTGGCTGCTAATACAGTCATTATTAAAAATTAAATCATATAAACTCACAATTAAAAAATTATATAAAACAAAGATAATAACTCCTCAAAACTCATCAGTTCTTAATTATTCTATTACATTTTACTATTATTTATGCTCTTGAGTTTTTTGTGCCTATTGTACCTGTAGGGCAGAAATGTTTTATAACGATGTCCTATTGTGCATCTTTCTCCACTGTCTTCAATAACTTTTCTTAGTAGCTTGAAATCGGCAATGATGGCAGTATTTACACAACTGAAATTGGAAAACACTACATATCAGAGTTTGATTTATTGTTTCGTTGAGTGGAGAAAATGCAGATTAACCATGCAGATTAAATTTAAAAGTGTATCGTCTGTAGCTCTTACATTGTGAATAGTCCCCAAAAGTGAGGAAATATTCCTCCAGTTTTTTAAAACTATTATTTGATTCAGCAAAGAAGTTGCTTCCATCATTGACTGACAAGTGACATCCCCACATACGTCTTTGTTAACTTTCCTCTTACTCCTCCCGTAAATGAAGTTATCAACCAGCACTCATGCTAGAATTACACTAGCTCATCAATTGCAACCTGAGGTTGGCTTTGGATATAAGAGTTTGGCAAAAATCAACTAAAACATTCTTAGTTAATTGTGTACACAGTGCTTATAATAAAGAGTATTATATATTTTATCATTTGTAAACTATGTGCTACACATCCTTTTTATCAGTGAAATTTATAACAAATGTGTGTTTATGTATATGTGCATATATACTTTTTTTTTTTTTGAGAGCTGGTGCTTAAACTTTTACCAGCACACCACTAATCAGAGGTGACAAACAGCTAGCTCCAGGCTTAACGAGGACCACTGACATAGGTTATTTGACCCACAGTGTTATTGAAAGCAACAAACAAACAAAAAAGAAGACTAGTGTACCAACATTTGCAAATTGTGAGATTTCATGTAAAAACTTGGAATTCCTAATTCTCATGAAGGATTGGACGTGGTGTCACTGTATTTTCCCATGGCGGTTCTTAGCTAGAGCTGAGCTACTGTGGACCCTTCAAGTGGAGCAGGCACTGTGTTCACCACCGTCCGTCCCCATGACTCCCTGTGGTCCCCCTAGCCCTGGGCTGAACACCAAATGCCATTTCCCCCACTGCCCCACACACATATGTGCTCTGGATTTTCTCTGTTCCTTGCTTACATCTGTCAGTGCAACCTGAACCAGATTTTCATTCCAGAAATTCGGCAACCTTAAGCTTGACTTATAACTAAGTTAACTTCCCTCTTCGATTGATGTAAGTCCCATTGATCCACAATTATTTCTTATAAGGATCACTTAAAAAATATGTGAGAGGGTTTTGAAACCACCAAATGGAAGATATACACATTAAGATGTTCAGAATTTTTAACATCATTTAATTTTATACTTTATTAGTAAAAATCCATTAAAATTAAATTTTTCTTTCGGTGACTGATGACAGTAAATATGTTTCTTATTAATCTTTTCACCTATATTCTTTTTGCCTTTTTCTTTTTCTTTCCTTCTTCGTCTTTATCACTTTAATCTTACCTCTTAAGTATAATGTCAGAAATGAGGTCATTACATTTTTCTATTAAAATTTATACTTTGATCTTAGTTGTGGCCTAATTTATACACTGGCATTGTGGACTCATGCTAATTAGCCTGAATGGCCAAATCCCCCATCAATTAAACAAACATAGACACTTCAGGTTATTTCAGTTACTCTATGTTAAGGTTAAGAGAAAATATGATAAATGTGATCTAAAGTCATTAATCCCAAGACATCTCTCATCTCATAATAAAACTACTTGTAATCATTATGGTATCACGAATGCAATGATGTTTCAATTTTTTTTCACTCTGAGTTTAGACATTTGTACCATAAATGCCACGGATTCTTTATCTTACACTCTAACGGTAAGTGGGGTCTCCAGGAGGAAAAATTTCCTTTGTACAATGATGAGTCAGCTTAATTTTTTAAAATGTTGCCTTAGTTCCTTGTATCAACACACATAAAACCAATTTGTGTTAACCACATCACCCAAAGTGTCTTAACTTTCCAGTCTTAAATGTCCAAATGGACTGAGCCCTAAAAGTTCTGTTAATTAGTAGTAGTATGAGCATTTTACTCGTAGGAATAATGTTCTAAGTTTTATTAGATTCCCAGGCTCGTCCCTCATGTAGTTAAACATAGTTCTAAGGGTATTAATCTAAGTTCTGGTTTCTGGAGAAGAAGGACGAGAGGAATGAAGAAAATAAAACCAGGGGAGGTGATGCGGTGGGGATGAAGGTAGAAGGAGGCAGAGAAAGAGGAGGAAACGCCAGAGAAGGGCTGAGAGAGGGGGCCGTTCCAAGCAAGATTTTGAGGTACGTGCGATTGGTTTTGCGTTCCCCAATTTTCCTTCTATTTCCCCCTCTAGTTTCCACCCTGTCCAGCCCCGTTCTGCCTCCAGGCTTCTACCCTTCCCTCGCCCCAACCCCAGACACACTCACAAAACTCCCCTTTCTCATCTGTTCTCAGTGAGGGGTTTGGAAAACCTCAGTCTGAGAAAACCTGACACCTCTGAAATTTATCATTTCCCATTTAAGGGAATTCCAGGTGCTGAGACAAAATCCAGCAGAAAACGAGGTGCATTTTGACGGGAAATATGTTTCTTGGGGGTCATCCCCGTTGCCCACGTCCACTAAGCAGTCCCTGGTACGCACTGCTGTCTCCATTGCTGCTCTAACATTTCTCCACAGACCCCCGTGGTAGCGAGGACCTAGCTTCTAGCTGGCCCCAAACTATGTTTCTGGACTGAACCAAATTGGATTTTTGTTCGTTTGTTTGTTTTTAAACTTTTTATTATTTTTTATTTATTTAACAAAAATTTTTTAAAAAATTTTTTAGGCAAGGCAACCCTTGGTTGACCTCACAGATTGCAAGGACCTTATCAGCTTACAATCCCTTACTTTTTTATTTTACTTTTTACACCTACAGCACCTGGTCTTCCTAGGTGGTCTCCTATCCAAATACTAACCAGGCCCGACCCTGCTTAGCTTCTGAGATCAGCCAGGATCGGGCTCGTCCATGGTGGCATGGCTGTAGACTTGCTTGTTTTTTAAAACAGCTTCCATGGTTGGGCACAGAGTAGAACAGAGAGAGCTGATTATTGGTATGTGTGGCTCTGCTGTGGTGGGGGCTGGAGGAGAGACGAAGCTATGGGTTGGGATACCCATGGCCTTATCCCCAGATGCCTTGTTGCACTTATCCATGGTTGGCCAAAGTTCCTGGTGGTTGGACATAGTTCCAATGTTAGTAAATGAATGTGACAACATAGCTTTTGTTGCTTAGAACTGGGAAGGTTTTAAAGTGAGAAAAGTGGGGAAAGTTGTTGGCAATGCTGGCAACGTTTTCAATACTATATGATTTTAGGGATGACTCCCTGTTGAAAAGTGCCATGTCTAAGAATGAGACATACATGCATGTTTGCCAGCCTGTGTGTAATGACGGGGGCTGCTCTCTGGGGTTGCGCTCCCCACCGCTGCGGATGAGTAAGCTTTGCTCTGGCGAGGGATGCTTGGCCTTGGTGTTGATGCGAAGCCTCTTCAGACCACAAATGGCCAGGTATTCAGTGGGGAGAGTGTTTGTACTGCACAGAGAAAGCTTCAGGTCCTGGACCAGACTGAAGTTCAAAAGAAGGCCCAATGCAGATATGTCTGTGAACCAGATGGTCAGATGGCCACTGTAGCTGGTTCTCTCTACTGCAAAAGGCAGGACAGTTTTACAGCTGCACATCAGGCTGGCCAGACTGTAGTCACAGTCCTGGATGTCTGCCGAGCAGCTGCACTTCCGAATGGTGTTTTCCCTTGTGAAAATTAGTGTGCTATTCTTCTGACCTCTCGTGAAGCAGTCAAGTGCAAAGATGCCCAATACACAGATCAGGAGGAGGCTGTGCCCAGAAGGGGGTGCCATTCTTGTCCCAGCGTGGCCCAGCATTCTCATGCTTCCCCTCCGAGAGCCAGTTCATCAGAATTCACCTGAAAGAACATAAGCAGGTTTGTTACTGTAGCCTCTCGTTAGAAATGGGCAGCTACGGAATAGGAGCCCCCCGGATAACCCGGATAACCTGTCGTAAACGTCTCTTTCGCAGCACTAGCCAAGGCGAGTGATGCTAGGAACCCAAGACCTTTTTCTCAGTGCCTCTCGGAAAGCAGCAGCCAACCCCCCGAACTCTGCTCATCTGAGGGATACAACTCCCTGTCTGCTGAGAGACGAGCAGGCCAGAGAGAGAGCAAGGAAGAATGCCGGAGAGGAGACAGCGCGTCCTGTCTGAGGGAAGGGACGTGGGGTGATTTGAGCGTGCAGGTCCTCCAAACGTCCAGTTACTGGCTCTGTTAGCCCCCTAAACATGCATATCCCCTCCTCCCTCTCCATGTCTGATTTCCTGGTATTCCGGAGACAAAACAGTTCCTTGTTGGATTCAGGCTCTACCTGTTAAACAACATAGCACGAATACCAGTGAAACAGTTAGTTAATGGTAAACTTTAATTTCTAACTAGACAAACATACCCCCATCCTATTCATCTGTTTATAGGTCCATTCATGCTTTTCCTGGCCTCCTAGAAAGAACTGTAAATAGTAGCGTCGCTTTTACCTATGTTAATAGAAAATGAAAAGACTAGTCACATACCAATTAATCTCAATGATCTGAATTTACTCCTTTACTAGAACAAATTTTATAAATTGATTTTATCAAATAATTTACCGTAGGGCTCCAAAATTAAGTGATACATGAGCACCAGTGAATGGTCTAAATAGGGTAGAAATGCACACACAGTTAAAACAGCAGCACCGCTGTCCAGTTTTGGGAGGAACGCTCCGCAGTGCCTGGCATAGAACAGATGTGCGGGCTCCTCTTATGCTGTTGTGATTGGAATAAGATACACATTTGAAATAGGGCACCAGATTTCAGTTTTGTAAAAATAAGTAAATTTCCCCTGAGTTGGCTGATGAATGAAGAGAGAGACCAAACAATTCAATTCAGTTCATCTGTATTTATGGAGCCCCATGAGTATGGCAAGAAACTTGGAATGAAACTGCTGACTAGGAGAGTCCAGAGCGAGGGACTGGGCCCCTGCAGGAAGGATACGTGGAAGTTTCAGTCCGAGGAGTTAAACGTGTCCAAAGATGGTGCCGACAGCAGGAAAGAGGCGAGGCAGACATGCAACGCTTATCGTGCAAGATGAGGCCAGGAGGAAGCAAGGCAAGGCAGTGAGAAATCCAAGGAGGCAAAGCTAAAAATGCCCCCCTAAAATCGGGTAGACAGACAGGCCACCATCAGCAGATGGCTGGAGTGCAGGGGATTAAAATAACCTCAACCCAGTAAACTTGAACAGAAGGTGAGACATTGGTTCTCAGCAATCTTAAGGTCGTTCATTCATTCATTCATCACTCAACAGATGCTTGTTGGGAGTTTACTAGGTGGCAGGCACTTTGCTGGTTCTGGGGATACAGCCCAGAATAAGTCAATGAGCTTATGGAGCTTATGTTCTAATGGACTTGATTCTGCTCCCAGAGCCCACTGTGGGCCAGGCCTGCATGTGAGAACAAGGATGTTACAGCACGGGGTAAGGGGAGGGAGGCAAAGGCAGGTCATGTAGTGCTCAGCACAGGCCCTGTGTCAAGGCCAAGCAGAAGAAATGAAGATGAACAAGACCTGGGCCCTGACCTCCAAGGGTTTACATGCAAAAGAAAACGCAGCTGAGTTGAGAAAGGCTCTACTGCACGTGTATAGATAGACTAAAGTCCATTTTGGGGGACCGAATAAGACACCTCAGAGTGTTTTCTGTTTATTTTGAAGTTGGCACAGGATTCTCTTAAAGGAGTTATTCATCGGTTCATTTGTAATGAAAAAGGCTTTGAGAAATACGTAGAGCCGGAGTTCTCCCTCAGTGAGAGGCTTAGCAGTTTCAAAGTGTTAGACTGTGGTGGTGACTACCCCACTTACTAAGGAGCAGTGAACGATTTATTAATTACAAGATAACTTTAGATAATCAGCTGTCCCAGATTCCATTGGCGGTTTCCAGGACTTCATGTCCCGACGACCCTGTCATCCCAGAGCTAGGAGTGCGGTTGTCACTACCCTCGGCCTATTCGGATCAGAGCCTCGAAGGGAAGCGGGGGAAGAGGATCTACACGTGAGCCTAGAACCTGGTGGGAACACTGTCCACCTCACTCTTTCGGGCACTGATGCCGTTCAGAGGCTGCACAGATGAAGGGAGGGGAAGGACATTGATTTCCAGGAAGAAGTGGGGCTGGAAGTTCCCAAAGGGATTTGTGAGCAACTTTCCAACAGTCAAGCCCTGGCTGGCCCTCAGGGTGGCCCCTGCCTTCTGGACGTCAGGGAGCCCAAAGGTCAGAACAGGAAGCCGAATGCAGGAAGTCTCATGAAGGGGCACAGAGTGGGATAACATCCCTGGTAACCAATCTATGGGGTTGGACATTTTTCCCCTTCAGTGTTGTCATGGATTTCTTTCCGTAGGTTTATTGAACGTGGGTTGTAAACACCAATAAACATTATGTGTTTATTCATCTACGGGCAGATTCCAGCATGGCAAGCAAAAGGCACAAATACATTCCATTGCCCCTGCCCCTTGCTATGTCCCTGCCTGGCTGTGGGGAAGGGGCTCATATTAGGACATGGGAGACAAGTCTCACTGATGGAGCACACAAAAAGCTAGCACGCTGAGAAAATGATATGTCAGGGTGAGTTAAAGGGTTCTAACCCAACAGGACCCCTCAACTCCTCTCACCCACTGCCACCCTGCCATCTCCATAGCCTGTCAGGTGCTCAAAAATAGGTTGTTAGGACTCTTCATTTCTTGTCTCTGTTCTCCTCTGTATTGGCTTTATTCTCAGATAAGCTCACCCCTTCCAGAAACCAAATGGTCATCAGTAGATCAGGTTTCCCTTCTACAAGCTGAGTAATCCTTAGAAAAAAATGTCTGTTTCCCAATTGTACCCAACAAAAATGCATTGGTCTCCTTGAGTCACATACTCAGCCCTGGAGCCAATGCATAGGGTCAGCCACACTGGAAGCAATGGACCGAGAAGGCAGAAAATTGGTTCCATGAAGGGAACTCAGCGTTACCAGAATAAGGCAAGGTAGGTAGTCATAACGTGACAGCCCATTAGACCTATTGAGTGAGCCAGGCCGTCTGACTGCTCTCAGTGTTAGCAAACACTGGACACCGGTTTGATGAAATATACTCCTGGAGTGCAAGTGCATGTCTCACTTTGTGGGATACACCCAAGATTCCAAATGCCTCCTTTACTAGAATTCCTCTCATTTTCACATGCTCAGAAGCTACAAGGACTTTTGCAGGGTCACACTTGAGGGATTGCACTTCTGAGAGACATCCTTGCCTCGCTCCCCAAGTCCTGGCTTCAAAGTAGGTTTCTTGGGGTGCCCAGACACTGGCTTTTGTCTGCCTTTCTTCTCAGTGCTGCAGCTAAAATTGATATTTCACACCATCTCCTTCTTGCTGGTCCTCGTCAGTTTCTGGTCCTCTCATTTCTATGGTTTTCTCACTTGAGTCTTTTCTCTAAGTGCTTTACCCCTTTTCAAATAAAAATTACTCCCAATTTCAAATTAAACTCACTTCTGAATTTTCAATTGCTTTTGATTTTCAGTTGATATAAGGATTTTGGAGAATGTCACTATGTTGTTCCACAACTAAAATCTTGTCTTTTGTGTTAAGATTGTAGAATTCAAAATATCATTATTCATGACATTTCAAATTTGTTTTGGGCAATTGTTCCAAATGCTATCCTAGCACTGACACAATATCTCTTTGCTAGTAATATCTTCTTATAAACAACTAGTTCAGTTCGAAACATTCCTTTTGGAGCCAAGCATAAACATGATCTAAATGCTGGGTGTAATCCTAGATTGAGAAGGAATCTGTGTGGAATTTGTTTTAAAGTAGCCAATGTCTGTATCTGCTCAATTCAAAAGTGTTTGCTTCTATGCAGCCAGTAGGTAGTATTAATTGCTATCAAGATTCCTTCAGCTGCAGTACCAAAGAAATGTTTGAACTGATTCTGAATAGTAGCTCCAGTTTTTAAATGTTCACCGATTTAAAGGCTCAAAAATTTAATAATCATACACAGTTTTTAGAGTCCTGCCTGAAAATTTTGGGTCGATCAACACCACCTAAACTTTTGTCATGGCCACATAAAGTCCTTCATTGTAGGTAACTTCTAGTGCCCACCAGTACCCGTGGTCTCTTCTCCTCTCTTGGCACGATGCCGGACTTCATTTCCAAGCTTCCTGCAGTGAGGTGGTACCATGTGACTGAGTTCTGGCCAATGAAATGTGGACAGAAAATCCTGTGGGGGACCTAAATGTCCCTAAATGATTGTGAGGAGCAGAGGAAACCCCTCACCATTCCTATCCCCCCTCCCCCACCTTAATAACATTAGACTATAATACAAGGGGGGGATCGAACTTCACCATCTTGAGCCAGTGATATTTTTAACTTTGTCATAGCTGTTAGCCTAACTTGACTAATACAGCAGGTGTTAATATTCTTTTTGCAATTTATGAGTTTTACATCCTCTTTTCTTAAAAGGAAAATGAGAAATAAATGTTCAGAGAACACTTACATGGTGCCAGAAAATGACCTAAGTAGTGGGAAATCAAAAAGGAAGTAGACATCTCTGCCTTCAAGTGTCTTGGAACTTGCCCAAAGGGCTTAACTCGTACTTGGAACAAACAACTGAGCAACTAATTATAAGGCAGTGTGACTGGTTAGTGCTTATTAAAAGGGAGTGCTGCTCGGGTTAGGCAGAGAAGGGGCTGTGGTAAGGACAGTTGATGCACTGTGGACAGAGAGGCATGTGAGCAAAATCTCAGAGAGACTAGAATACCTGGTGTGTCTGAGGGGGCCCATGAGGCTGGGAGCACGGGCAAGGCAGGGGCAGATGGGACCTTGCCAACCAAACTAAGGGGTTTGGTCTCTAATTCTTCTGTTCT